ATTTTTTCATCCACTGACGCCAATGCTGGGGGGTATTTTTTCATCCACTGACGCCAATGCTGGGGGGTATTTTTTCATCCACTGACGCCAATGCTGGGGGGTATTTTTTCATCCACTGACGCCAATGCTGGGGGGTATTTTTTCATCCACTGACGCCAATGCTGGGGGGTATTTTTTCATCCACTGACGCCAATGCTGGGGGGTATTTTTTCATCCACTGACGCCAATGCTGGGGGGTATTTTTTCATCCACTGACGCCAATGCTGGGGGGTATTTTTTCATCCACTGACGCCAATGCTGGGGGGTATTTTTTCATCCACTGACGCCAATGCTGGGGGGTATTTTTTCATCCACTGACGCCAATGCTGGGGGGTATTTTTTCATCCACTGACGCCAATGCTGGGGGGTATTTTTTCATCCACTGACGCCAATGCTGGGGGGTATTTTTTCATCCACTGACGCCAATGCTGGGGGGTATTTTTTCATCCACTGACGCCAATGCTGGGGGGTATTTTTTCATCCACTGACGCCAATGCTGGGGGGTATTTTTTCATCCACTGACGCCAATGCTGGGGGGTATTTTTTCATCCACTGACGCCAATGCTGGGGGGTATTTTTTCATCCACTGACGCCAATGCTGGGGGGTATTTTTTCATCCACTGACGCCAATGCTGGGGGGTATTTTTTCATCCACTGACGCCAATGCTGGGGGGTATTTTTTCATCCACTGACGCCAATGCTGGGGGGTATTTTTTCATCCACTGACGCCAATGCTGGGGGGTATTTTTTCATCCACTGACGCCAATGCTGGGGGGTATTTTTTCATCCACTGACGCCAATGCTGGGGGGTATTTTTTCATCCACTGACGCCAATGCTGGGGGGTATTTTTTCATCCACTGACGCCAATGCTGGGGGGTATTTTTTCATCCACTGACGCCAATGCTGGGGGGTATTTTTTCATCCACTGACGCCAATGCTGGGGGGTATTTTTTCATCCACTGACGCCAATGCTGGGGGGTATTTTTTCATCCACTGACGCCAATGCTGGGGGGTATTTTTTCATCCACTGACGCCAATGCTGGGGGGTATTTTTTCATCCACTGACGCCAATGCTGGGGGGTATTTTTTCATCCACTGACGCCAATGCTGGGGGGTATTTTTTCATCCACTGACGCCAATGCTGGGGGTTATTTTTGCATCCACTGACACCAATGCTGGGGGTTATTTTCGCATCCACTGACACCAATGCTGGGGGTTCTTTTCGCATCCACTGACATCAATGCTGGGGGTTATTTTTTCATCCACTGACACCAATGCGGGGGGTTATTTTCGCATCCACTGACGCCAATGCTGGGGGTTATTTTTGCATCCACTGACACCAATGCTGGGGTTTATTTTTGCATCCACTGACACCAATGCTAGGGGTTATTTTTTCATCCACTGACACCAATGCTGGGGGTTATTTTCGCATCTACTGACGCCAATGCTGGGGGTTATTTTTGCATCCACTGGCACCAATGTTAGGGGTTATTTTTACGTCCACTGGAACCAATGCTGGGGGTTATTTTTGCATCCACTGACGCCAATGCTGGGGGTTATTTTTGCATCCACTGGTACCAATGTTAGGGGTTATTTGTACGTCCACTGACCAATGCTTAGGATCGCAGTTTGACATCTTCTCCCTGGGCACCAAATGATGTCCTGGCACTGGATAGATGAGCATTGGGCAGGAGGAGGATGAAAAGGTGCCCTCAGCGTTGTTGGATGCTGCTGCCACCACCAGGATTACTAGGAGAACTGAAGACCAGCCATGCCACCAGAGGGGTAAGTCTTTGTATGTATGTGTTTGTATGCATGTTTGTCTGTGTATGCAGCCAGTGTCACTGAAATGGTTGGTGTGTCCACCTGGCCCCCATCTATCCAACATTCCACTGACATTGCTTGAAGGATGCAGCCAGGTGCACTGTCAATATCACTGGAAGGTTGGATAGGTGGGAGCCAGGTGCACACACCTTTCCAGAGACATTCTCACCTATCCGGCATTCCATTGACACTTACAGTACCTGTAGGTGGCAGTGTCACTGGAAAGGTGTGTGCACCTGGCTTTCACATATACACCATTTCAGTGACATGGACAATGCACCTGGCTTCCACCTACAGGCATTGTCAGTGGAATGGTGGATAGGTGGCAGCAGGTGCAGTGTCAGCGTAATGGTGTACAAACTGTGCACCTGGATCCCACCTATCCACCATTCTGCAGACACCAAACCTATCTTATAAGCCCCTCCCATGTTTTAAAAGCACAATTTGGACACACCCATCATAGCCCCAAGTATGCTTGGGACTGGTGAATTTAAGTTTAGTTTGTATCCAGATGACCTCATGAACCCGAGGATTGCTTTTCCGGCCCTCCTGCAGGAGTTCTCCCACTTTGCTGCACTTAGCAATTTCAAAGTCAATATACATCGGAAGCCTTTAATGTATTTCTGCTGATCAAGCGCTAGTGGACCTCCAAAGTAGCTTTCCTTCTGTTTGGCAGTCTGCTGCTCTTCCCTGGAGGTGCTGCATGACTTAAATAATAAACCCTTGTTCTCATCTATCCACTGCAAACTTGGTAGCGACTGAATCACACTTGGCCCTCTACACAAGATGGATATGCTTACCGGTCTCCTCTTCAAATGGTCCCTATTGTACTCCTGAGGAGGTTTTAACGACCTTCTTTGATATGTTATATTTGAACTGGCTTGTTGGTCCGCTTATGTTATACAATTCTCATTGAATGGAAGTGGGAGCGGTGGCATGAGTCTACCTCATGTAAAGCTTTATTATCCGGCTGCCCTATTGACATGCCTCTTGGATTCTATTTGTCATGCTCCTCATAAACTTTGGGGGACTGATAGAGGCCCTTATTTCACCCCCCTCCCACCCCAACACACACTTTCACTACCCTGTCTTGCCCCTTCCACCTGCCCTTCTGAGACACTTTTGTGTTCCCCTTTACTGAAGACCTAGGATGCTCTGTTACGGTCCTACAAGATTTCTTCTTATATTGGTCCCATGACCCCTGTTCTTGGGAACCCTGCTTTCCCTCCTGGTCAGTCCTGTAATACATTTGTGGTTTGGACTGTCATCTCTTTCCTCGATCCACCTGGCACTCACGGACACAGGACTGCACCCGCCAGCCTGGCCAATGGCTTGCTTATCTGACGGACTTCTGCTCCTCATTGGCGAGCTTGGGGGCACTTCACAGGCATTTGGTGCCCCTCGAGTAGCTCTGCTCCCACAGTGATGGACCTTCCCATTCTACTACTTTCCTCTCTGACCTCCTTTTGACCTAAGAGACCGCTGGTGTTCCCCATTATATGGCTCAATGGGAGATGGACTTACGATGTACTCTCTTGGGGGATTAGATCTCCAAGTGCTTCATCCTGACGCATACATTCTCCATGTTTAGTAGGCTCCAGGAATGCAACTTCAACATTTTGACCAGGTGGTATTGTCGCCCTACCAGGCTGCATCTTATGTTTCCTCAGATGTCTGACACCTGTTGGCGATGTCACTCTCTCCTGGGGACTCTCCTGTATATTTGGTGGGAATGCCCTTGTGTTACTCCCTTCTGGACTGCCATCTTTAATGGTTATTACCGCATGTTCATTACGATTATTAGCCAAACCCCCAAAGTTTTATTTCCTTTCCATTATCCCAGGTGCAATCTCATCGGCAAAGTGAAGTCTTCTCCTTTTCTTTTTAATGGCGACCAGAGCTGCCATTTCGTGCCACTGGAATGCAGTACGTACGATGTATGGAGGAGCCGATGGCCAACCTTTATGATGGCCATGTGATATCTGGAATCCCTGGATATGTTATGTTGCTGCAACATCATTTGACGGTTTGTAGTCCTCATGTGACAGTGAGTGAGTAGCTTCTCCTCTGATGAGCTTTTCGGTGATCTGTGATGTTGTGTTCTCTATGACCTGGACTCCCCTACCTTCCTCTTGTTCCTGCGTCCCCCCTATAAACCTTTTCCCTTTGTTGCATCTCTGCTTTCTTTTTGTCTCCTTTTTTATGTTTCTCTTTTCTCCTCCCCTCTCGCTTCGCTGGGATATAGATAGCAGAATAGATGCTGTTGTCTTCTTGTTGAGGCCCCTGGAGTTGTCCTTCTGCGAACACATGTCAAACGTGTGCATTGACATGCGTTCATGGAGTGTGTCAAAAAGTGCAACGTGCTTCCGTTGCCATTACTTGTTAATGGCAAACCAATGCGGCTGGGAAAACGTACGTTGTCTCGCACAAACGCATGGTGAAAAAAAACACGGTATGCCTATAGCAGAATCTGCTAAATAAGCTACCTGAGGGGGGGAGGGTATGTGTATTGGGCGGTGCAGGTCCGGGGGCACGCATGATGCCTCTGTCCAGCGTCCCACCCAGCTCATTGACGTCACTGGTTGCCAGAAGCTGGGTGGAACCCCAATCAGTGCCTCCCGCTGAGCTGTGACGGCAGTGAGCTGGGGTGTGACACTGGCCAGAGCGTCACAGGTTCCTTAGAGCTAGCATGTGACCCAATCAGATGCCACCCGAGGCAACTGCCTCAGGCTACCTCGTTATAGGCACGGCCCTGCCCATATCTTTGACATTTCTAAAAAGTGTTAAATTAATTTACTAGAAATGTTTATTCCATCCTTTAATATGCTGCGTGGTATTCTCCGTCATTAACACGTTTGTTTTGTGTTACAGAGATAAAAGATAAGTGATTTTATAAAGTATCCTCTTCTGAGAATCTGAACTCCTTCTGTCCTTTTTCCTGGCTCCTCCAGCCTGACCGAACACAGAGCTCCAGCTGAGGGCGCTGTAGAAGCTCCTCCCATCATATGTCGTGTGTTCGGTGTATTATTCGGGGTCTGGGTGTAAGATGAGGCCGGACACCTGATATACGAGGCTCAGCGAGTTAGAGGTTCTCTGATCCAAGCGGAGTGCGTATCCGCTCTTCTTCCTTCCATCGGTGCTTGTGTAATGTGGGCGGAGAGCCGGAACCGGATGTCCTGTCGTGTAGAACTTCCTAATGTTAAGGTACGTGCTTTCATGTCAGCTGAATACTAAGGCGGGTACATAGAGTCTGTTCCGTTATTCCTGGGGACTAATATCCATTGCTGGGACTAAGGAGTACACAGTTCATGTGTCCTCTACTGCCTGGGGACTGATATCTATGGCTGGGACTATGGTGTACAGTCCATGTGTCCTCTACTGCCTAAGCACTGATTTCTATGGCTGGTACTGAGTTGTACACAGTGCATGTGTCCTCTACTGCCTGGGGACTGATATACATGGCTGGGACTATGGTGTACAGTCCATGTGTCCCTCTACTGCCTGGGGACTGATATATATGGCTGGGACTATGGTGTACAGTCTGTGTCCCTCTACTGCCTGGGGACTGATATATATGGCTGGGACTATGGTGTACAGTCCATGTGTCCCTCTACTGCCTAAGCACTGATTTCTATGGTGTACACAGTCCATGTGTCCCTCTACTGCCTGGGGACTGATTTCTATGGCTGTGACTGAGTTGTACACAGTCCATATGTCCTTCTACTGCATGGGGACTGATATACATGGCTGGGACTATGGTGTACAGTCCATGTGTTCCTCTACTGCCCGTTGACATATCTGTGACTGAGGTGTACATAGTTCATGTGTCCCTCTAGTCTAGTGCCTGATGACATCCATTACCGGGACTGCGGTGTACACAGTCCATGTGTCCCTCTACTGCCTGGGGAGTGATATGTATGGCTAGGACAATGGTGTACAGTCCATGTGTCCATCTACTGCCTGGGGACTGATATCTATGGTTGGCACTGAGGTTTACAGTCCATGTGTCCCTCTAAATAGTGCTGCCATATCAGACACCGGCCAAAGAGTACCTGTGTGTTCAGTGGGATGAAATGATGACTTCCTAGTAATGTCCCTAGCGGTAAGAACTCAGCATTGTGGTAAATGTATCATATAGTATACACGGTGCAGTTTACAGATTGCCATGGTCAGGAGCAGGGCAGGAATAAAGCATAGGAGAGACTTGGACACAGTGCTGGTGGTTTGCATCAATTCAGCTGCACTGTGCAGGACTGAGACCTCAAAATGACAATGTAGTCCTTCAGATTACATGGCGGTCCCTGCTTTTTCCTTGTAGTCAGAAGAGCTAAACTGTCAGTGTGACATCTGCCATGCATGGCTAGATTTCCCATTTGATTTATTCCCCCAACCATACCCGTCGGTGAGGATGGAGGAATCTCCAATGCCGGCTATTCTATTCAGCAGCTGATGGCACTCAATCATTACTTGACTGATAATTCTCACCCCGCCTCAGTCAAACTTGTCAAGCCGAGTGGTGCCGACAGGGGTGCCCACTGCTTGGATTTTGGCTGATTTAGCACGATTCAGCCAAAATCCGAGCTGTGTAATGATAGCTTTATTATCAGTAGTGATGCCATTGACAGCAGTAGATATATGCAAAAAAGTGAGGGTTTAGAATCCCTTTTAATTAGGGTTGCACAGATATCAAGTACAATACTCGGTACAAGTACGAGTACATGTACCGATACTTTTGAGCTCCAAGACTACACTAGAGAAAAATTCAAAAATTAGGAGGCAGCTGTCATTTGTAAGGAGCACACGGAGCTCCTGGGATTAGTACATCTCTGTTTTAATGTACGATTTTGTTTTTATAAATATAAATAAAGTGATGCACAGATACCAGTTTTGCGAGTACGAGTACTGGTACTTGCCGAGTACTTACAAGTACTGATACATTTTTGTTTATTGTCATGTGACAGTTTTTCTTAAACAATACAGACCAATGATTTCAGGACAGTGGTGGAGTGCCAGAGCCAGGTCCCAGCTGCAACCGCTGCAACCCTGGTAGTTCTCATGAAGATGCCGAGTATCGCCACTGGTACTCAAAAAGTATCTGTGCAACCCTACCTTTAATATTATAGAATAAAAGACTTTGAAACAAAACAAACGGCTATACATGCAAATATTTACATATCAAAGGTTTAGGACCCTAGGTGCCTGTCAGTTCCAATCAGCTGGGGATCCATACACAGCTCGGCTGCTGATCAGAGCAGTTAGGAATGGATGTCACTGTCCATTTTTTTCCCTCTGTCTTGCGATGGAGGGAAAAACTAAATTTACCGCACCCATGTTGGGTCTGTGGTGAGTCGGATGTAAATGGCCATATGTCACCTCTTCAAGTTAATGATCGGATGACAGCGGCAGAACACTGACACACCGTATGTGATACGATTACATGCTGTTAGGAATAGGTTACTGTCCCTCGACGCACGATCGATGCATCCAGGGATAGTGATTGATGCCTAACCACATGCAAACATATCACATACATGCGCTGTGCCAGCGTTGTGCCGCTTTCAAATGCAGCTGCCGCTTCTAAACAGAGGATTAGGGATTCTTAATGTAGGAATACCAAGTCGCACCTAAACTTGAGCCGCGAATGTCGCCTTAACCTGAACTCGTGTGTGCATTTTGTGCATTTCTTTGTTCTGCTGTAAAAAAAATAACAAAGCAGCTTTTGTTTTCATGTGTCTTTCAGTCCAGCAGAGTTGTTCGCTGTGCGAAATCGGAAGCAGAACCTTCCTCAGCGTTCTCACGGGCAGAAGGACTTTTTGCCAGATGGCTCAGAAGTTCAGGGAGCAAAGTTGCAGACCTGCCGTGAGGAACAATGGGAACTTTTAGGAGAAGAGCGAGTTGAGCGCCTGTAAGTAAATGAGTAATGCTGTGATGTCACTAATTCTGTGGTTTATGCATACCTCATGCAAGATATATACTGAAAATCTTATAATTAACTTATAAATATCCTAATATTATTCAGTAGCATTTTACAACCATTGTGTTAATCCAAAATGCATCTGGTATACCAAGGATAGCTCCAGGTTGACCAGGTAGAAAGGAATCATTTGATAAAGGGGATACCCCAACACGTCCACCACATTTTCTAGACCTGGTTTGTTGTTCAGATTTTTGCATTGTACTGCAGATTTTCCTGGCACTAAGACCGCTCTGGGTTTCATACTTGTATTTTGGGTGCAAGATAATTAAAGTAGAATTCCAGCCAAAAATAACAAGATAATATGGATAGGCCATTAAAGGATAAAATTAGGCGAGCAAAATTCAGCTTCAACCCAGAGCTTTGCCCGCAGTACTTTTGTCCGCCACTAGATGTCCTCGGTCTGATGGCCAGCACATTCCATCCACCTCCTCTGAGCCCAGGTCCTTTCTGGACCTGCTGCAGCCTGTTTCTGGGCAGTTAGAGGAGAAGCAGCACAGAGATGAGCTCATCTACCTGTCGCTCTGCTTTCTCCTCCTATTTGAATGCTCATCGTCAGCAAATGAACGGATTAGCTCCTTGTACTGCTTCTTCTTCTTACACTCTCTACAGCAGGGGTGGCAAACTCAAATTCATCGGGGGCCGCATCAGCAGTATGGTTACCCTCAAAGGGCCGGTTGTATAGGACTATGCATCTACTCTTATCATAAATAGTTGCCTCTGCATTCAGTTGCTACTGGAGGACTGCAGGTGGCTGATACCAGGCCCAATTCAAGTACTTAGACTGCTTGCATTTAAAAAATAAATTTAATGCTCTATTAGTGATTACAGAGCTGTATTTATTTATTTTTATATATGCTTAAGTATATGCACATACCCTCTATACAAGAGGTAGGGAAAAAAATCAACCCTCCAGCTGTGGTAATACTACAAATCCCATCACGCAGCTGCCTCTGGGAGTCATGCCTATGGATGTCAGTCTTGCAATGGGATATGTAGTTGCACCACAGCTGGAGGGCAGATGCTCTATACAGATATGTATGCTTTGGTATAGTTAATAGTCCATTTAGAAATATCCTTTGTATGTGTCTTGTGTGCGGCAATATTGGTTTTGAGAATTCTGTATGCTTTCTAAGAGATGTGAAGACCTTATTCTATTCATTTTACTGTCAATAATTCCAGTGCCTGTGTTTATGTTAATTACAGATTTGTAAACAGGGTTAAATAATATTCATTGCCCTTTTCGTGGCACAGAATTGTGAGATTAGCTTTCCTAATCCATTTCTCCAAATTCTATTCCTCCATTTCTCCTAAATTCTTTGCCTAATTCTTGATTTTATTTTTTCTAGAGGACGTTTGGGGAGAGGAGTATGGAAGCCAGAGGAAGACTTGGTTGAACTGACGCTCCCTGCGGTATGTACATTGGTTTACTTGCTGCGTACATTTGTTAACTTTGAGCTCAGCCTAAACCTTTTCTTTTTAAGTTTCGGATAGAGGAGGAAGCGTTGGAAGCTCTGCCGATCTCTGTGCTTGTTACCAGACAACCAAAATAATCACTTGTTAACATATGAGTCATGGCTTTTCTCTGTGGGGAAGCGAGGGAGTTATATAACATTTTGACAACCACATTTCTAGTATGTGGTATTTTTTAATTGGTGCTGTAGAACATATTGTTACCATATACACAGCGCCATCTAGTGGCTGAAAGTGTATTTCTACTTTTGCAGCCAAACTGGGATTACACCTACCGTACTTTATATTTGTTACATCTTCCCATTCACATGGCATAAGATAATTTTAAAAAAATAGTATTTAAAGTAACACTAAACTGAGGAGTTTAATCTGAAAAATGTTTTCAAGTTTTCAAATCATCTCTGAATTGGTGCTGACACTGTCCTTCCTTCTGGAGGGTGGCTACTGTTGTTCCCTATGGTCCCTGTGTGTTGTAACATAGTCACCACTCCAATGTCACTCCCTTCATGGACTACAATCTCACGTGTAGTTTACTACAGGCGAGTGATACACAAATAAGATACATGTTTGTTAGTAGTTAGGATTCAGAGATGATTTACACCTCAGAGATACATAAATATACATTTATCTTAATAGTTAAGCTGCTTGAATGCATTTTTTAGATTTAATTCCTGAGTTTAGTGTCACTTTAAGGGCTTGTTCACACCATTTTCTGGTGCAGATCTGCAGACGCGGTGCTATGCGTGCAGCGCGTTCCAGTTCCTTTTTTTTTGTGTGTGGAGTGGGGCTGTCAGCTGTTAACTGCAGTGCGGTTGTTTTTTGGCACGTTTTCGTTGGGTTTTTGACGCGTTCGTGCGTTTCCGGACCGGAGAGAATGTGACATGCAGCATTTTTTCTGTCCGGAAGGACTGCGCTGGTGAGAACTGTGAGCCCATAAAACACGTAGGAATACATTGGGATGCATTTTTAGTGCAGGAGCAAACTGTTCTGGTCTGGGCAAAATCTGAACGTCGTGTGAACAAGCGCTAAGTGCTTTTTACTTGCTTTAATAACCCGGCCCATCTTCTCCTTATGTAATGTTAATGGAGGGGGCTGTAGGAAGTTTTAACTCCAATTAATCCTGTCTGTACTGTGCTGGTAGATTTCATTATCAGTTGTAATCTAGATTTGGACACTGCCTGCCCTAACAAAGGGTTAAAGACTTAGAATCATTATCAGGGTTATTCTCAAAAGGGTGAAGAGTTTGGAGAAGGCAGGAGAAGTGAACAATCTAGGACAACATAGCTGAGTTGGAAAGTAAGCTGAATAGGAACATTTTTCCAGTTCAGCTATTTTATCCTAGAAGATTGCTCCCTTCTCCTGCCTTCTCCGAACCCTTCACCCTTTTGTGAATAACCCTATGAATGTTAATGAGAGGAAGCTCCGTCTGTCCTTCAGTTTGTCCCTCTGCTTTCACTTTTGAAATGCTCAGAGTAGCCTGCAATGTGCACAAAGGTTTTCACCCAAGAAATATCAAATATGTAAGAAATGATTTTTAGGTATAATGTGCGTTTGTTAAAATTTGACTGCAAAAGTGGAAAGGCACTTTAAGATGGGGAGATGGGAATAAGCCAAGCTTGACTTTTATAGCAGACACTGCCTGCAGGTCTGCATCTGATTGTTTTGATACACAGTTTTCACTGAAGATAACCTGTGCGAATGCATTTTTTTCTCCACATGCTCAGTGTGATTTTTCCAGGTTTGTGACTGTTAACTTGTAAGTAATCGCACAAAAAAAGCAGTGACTATAATACAGCCATCTTTCTGTGTAGGGCAAATTTTGGCATTCAATGGGTTTCGCCAAAGAGGGGAGACAGTGCCTGCTGCCCGAGGAAGCTCTCTACTTGCTTGAATGTGTAAGTAGTTTGTTTAAATATGACAATGAACATTTAACATTTCTGCTATATTACTCCGTTAAACTTGAAAGTCTCCTCCTTTCCAGCAATGGTATGTCCCTCAGCGTATACACTGTATAGGAAGTGATGACTCACAGGACCTTAGACCGCTGGAACAAAAGAGGAGAGAGGCTGCCTGGACCAGTCTAGCAGCCAACTATTTTCCTCCCTAGATGAAAATGAGCACTTAACCCTTGCAGCGTGGGGTAGCCCCACTGTATGGGTTAAGAATATTTCTGCCTGAAGTTCAGCTTTAAGCAAAATACAACTGGGAGGGCTGACGCCACTAAGTCCCCCAAAATACTGTGTGTTGTCATCCCACAACAGGACTCTGCATCTGAGTGCATTTCTGGCAGATCTACAGGATCTTTAACCCTTTGGCTGCCACGGACGCAAGTACTACTTCTGCAGCAGCAGGGAGCAGTAGTTACACTCCTCGCTGCTATAGCAGTAGGGAGCGTGTTTACACTCCCTCAGCCTACTGTCAGCTTTCATGTAGAAGTAATTTAAACAACTCCAAAGCCACCCGATCGCTTCTATACCATGCCCGACACCCCCCACACTATCGGCCCCCTATGTGAATGCAATGTGAAGTGATAGCAGGTGTAAAAAAAAAAGTTGAGTGAGATAAAAAAAAATTAAAGCCCCACCACCGCGCATACAAGCACATATGAGCAGAAACACTTAAGGTGCCCATACACCTTGCTATTATCGTGCGATAATCGCAAAGTGTATGGAAGGCGTGCGACCGTTTCTACTGTACGGTCGCACGTCTTTTGTCGAACCAGCATGCTAGAAAACCCGCCGAGAATCGTACGATGCATGGTGGGTTAGTGGAGTGCTCGTTCGACAACTGCGGAACGGGCCGGTGTTTGCAAGCGCACTGCCCGCTCAGCATTGCAGTCATCGGAAGCCCTCCCCTCAGCGGGGCGGGCTTTCAATGATCGCAAGTACGATCTGCCCGTCCAAGATGGGCAGATCGTACGAGCTTTCAATAAGGTTACGACCATCGCAAGACGAAAGTCTTGCAATGGTCGTAAGGTGTATGGGCACCTATACATTGGTTGCTTATGTTGGGTATCGCCATGCATGCCAAAGTGAGAGCAATAATTCTAGGAGCATTATTCATGTTTGGGGTTCTATTCACACCAGTTTAACCTCCCTGGCGGTATTACCGAGTCTGGCTCGGGGTTCATTTTCAATACCAGGAGCAGTAACCCCGAGAACTGGAAAATTGCTTGTGAAGTAAAATTCTGTAAGCTCAAATGTTTACAGACATCTATCTTAATATTCTTGTTGGTTGGATAAATAAGGTGTGATCAAATTCTGAAATGTTTAGTTAGTTACATGATAACGCTATTTCCACAAATGACATACATGAGAGATGGCTGCGCCCACCAGACAGGAAATGCAACCCCCAGTGCACTTCCACTTGCTGACCAGGGTGTTTAAATAGGGCTGCAGCTAACGATTATTTTCATAATCGATTAGTTAGCCGATTATTGACTTCGATTAATCGAATAGGATTTTTTTTTAAATACCGTCATTTATCTAAAATAAAATACACAATTGCAGCTTTACAGACCTAAAGTTTACTTCATAATAAAACAGTATGCACATTGTTTGCAATCGCATTGTACTGGAACACAGGGCATTGCAGTACTGCACATTCCAGTGCAGGCGATCACACTGAGGACGGGAGGAGCATTTGGTATCCATTGAATGAATGGCACTGCAACGCACCTCCTGCAGCAACATTTGTCAGGCCGAAATGGAAAAGGACTTCTATATAAATCTATTCTATTGTATGTGTGTGTATATGTATGTCTATAGATAGATAGATAGATCTATCTATCTATATATATATGTGAGTTTGTGTGTGTATCTGTATGTTAGTTTATTTACCTTAATTGTTTTTGTTTGTATTTAAATTTTTATTTAACTTTTTTTTTTTAATTTTAACTTTACTTTATTGCTGGAAGCAATAGCCAGCCTGCTATTGGATATTTCAAATTGCAATAGTTTTCAATTGTAACCAACGCTTATTTACGTGTATAAGTGCGTACGCGGTTAATGCGACTTAAATTTTTTATTTAAAAACTTTTTTTTTTTTTTACACTTGATTGCTATCACATAGGGGACTAAAAAGCCCCCAATGTGATGGCTAGAAAAAATGACAGGTCCTCTTTATGGAGACATCAGGGTTCCCCAAGACCCCTAATGTCATCTTGGGACCCTCAGAGAAGCTGATGAAGCACAGATCTTCTTCTCTGGCTCTCAGAGAAATGTTTCTATGCTGTAACATTTAGCAAAAAGCCGGTACAGATCGGGATTTGCTAATCCTAATCTGTACAGCTGCCTAACGGTAATAGGAGTGAGGTGTAAACCGCACTTCCTACCACTGTCAGACACCCAATCACTGAAAGCGATTGGGTATCTGATAAAGCTTAATTCTTTCATTAATGGAGGCCTCAATAGTGTACGTGAGCAGTCATTTGGGCACTTGGTGACGGGGGACGTACAGTGTATGTCTCCCGTCACTAAGGGGTTAATATAAAAGTAGGAAATACAGACAACCTATTCAGTGTCTTCCCACCAAAAAGACAGACATTAGGGTCCTGCATATTGAATCCAATGCAGGAGCAACCATCACCTTGCCTTCTGTTTCACAGGGAAGTTGTCCGTGGCCGCCAGAGCACCACAAAACAATCTGCTCCAGACCAATACAGCCTCCAGCATAGTGTGGCCATGTGGTTTCAGGTAGGGATGTACCGATACCGATACTAGTATCGATACCGAGTATTTGGGCGAGTACTCGTCCAAATGCTCCGATGCCTAGCCCGATACTTCCTGTATCAGGAAGCCGGGCGCTGCGTCATTACACTCTGCCCGGCTTCCTAATTGGCCGGGAAGTCAGCTCCATGCTCCCTCGTCACTTGTGACGAGAGCATAGAGCCGACTTCCCGGCCAATCAGGAAGCCGGGCGCCGTGTAATGACGCAGCACCTGGCTTTTTGATTTGGCCGGGCAGCCGGTTCTTGCTCCCTCGTCCTTTAAGGACGAGGGAGCATGGAGCCTGCTTCCCGGCCAATCGGGAAGCAGGGCGCCGCATCATTACACGGCCATGATTATATTCCATGATTGGCCAGCAAGCCGGCTCCATGGTTTCTCATCAGTGTCGAGAAGCATGGGACAGCTTCCTTGTTAATCAGGAAGCCAGGTTGCGAGTCATTACACCCCCGCCTGGCTTCCTGAATGATACTTCCGGTACTCGGTATTTGGTATTGGCGAGTACCGACAAAAAAAAAATATCGGTACTCAGTACCAAAAATACCAGTATTCGAGCATGCCTAGTTTCAGGTTTCCTCGAGGCTAGCACTGGTGGGAGTACTTTACTTGCAGTGTCAGAAGTGACAGCGCTACTCGTTCTACCACCAGCAAGACATACACATGCGGGGCGAGTGCAGACACTGTGCCCCAAATGGAAAGCTGCCAGGAGTCTCCCACAACATGCATGGGGGGGGGGAGGAGGTCCAGCTTTCCTGCTCTCCCAAGAGATTATTGCCGATTAAAATGCTTGTTTAGGTTGTGCCCATACCAAGCAATGTTACATTTGCTTTCATTTGTTAGCCTGCATTGTAAAAAATAACAGAATGTCCACTCCTCTGCTTTTTCTTTTTTGTTTCATTTTTATGTCGGTCATAGTGGGTTTTTTTTTTCTGTTTAGGGCAAAATCCAGCTGTTCTTTAGGGATCTACAACTGTCTGTCCAGGAGGCCTATGAGAAATTGGTTTCAGGTGGTTCCATCACCTTGCTGCACTATCAGGTATTGGTATTGTTCAATTTAAAAGACCTTTCCGATCTAGTCCTCTGTTTACAGAACAATAGAATCATTATTGACCGAAGTGCTTTCAAACCAAATTCAGCTCTCAGTTTATTGTCTGTACATGGTTTGTCTGCAGGTTTATAGCCATTTGAAGAGATTGGGCTACATTGTCACACGCTTTAACCCAAGGTGAGAGTGTTGAGTTTCTATTTGGTTTCATCTGTGGGTTACAAAACCTTTACAAAGTGATTGTTGTTCGTACTGTTTACCTAAGAATTTCCCTGCAATTTATTGCAGGCCTTGTAAACAACAGCAGGCTATACTGACTACATACATTGGCAGGGAATTCATCAAAACTGGAGCAGACAGAATCTGGAGCAGTTGCCAATCAGCATCTCTTTAGTTTGTTCAGTTAAGCTTTGTAAATGAAAGAGAGAAGCTGATTGCCATGGGCAAATGCTCATGATTCTGACTGCTCCAGTATTGATCAATTCCCCTCATTGTAATTATCCAAGATAATCTCACTAGGTACCCATGGTAATAACCAATAATTGCAGCACTGAACAGTGTTTAGTAAATTTTGCATCACTGTGACCTGCCAGGTTAGACTAATTGCTATTGGCCACAAAACTGATCTATCATGGGGGGGAGGTAGTTCTTGGTTGGGCAGTAGTAAGATTAACAATTACCATTGTAGTTTTCTTAGGGCTCTTGCATTTAAAACATAACTCCAGTTTGCATCAATTAATAACCTTTTCAATTGCCACGAGAATAGAAAGAGATGAAAAATTCTCCAATTTGGACACTTACTTCAGTGTCATCTGTCGGCCGGCCATACCCGCGGTCTGAACTACATCAACACAAATTGCGTCGATCCCTCTGATTGCATTGTATTCTGACAGGTGCCCCAGACACCAGTCAGAATACCCGATCAGAGCGGGCAGCTCATTTGCTGCCGACTCTGATCGATGGAAAATTTTCCAGCCGGCTCCTTCAATTAGCTGATCGAGGAAGGCTGAAAGGGAGCCAACAGCCCAAGACACTGCGAATTTCAGCCGGTACATTAAACACTGGCAGTAATTCGACCAGTGTATGGGCACTTAAAGGGGGCAATTGCCTCAATTTGGAGAGATTTGTATCTCACTCTGCTGTGTCTATAGAACAGGAAGTGATAGAAATTACTCCATTTGGGGTGTAGATGGTGAAAAAAGAATACAAAATAAAAAAAAGTTTTGGTTTTAGTTATTCATAAAAATGGAAAGAGCACGAAGTAATATAACCAAACTTTGCCTTTTCATCTGTGGGAAGAGCTGCATGGAGCCAGCCCATGACTGCAGTATGCTTATTGAACAGTGATTGACATTTAGCAGACAAAATGCCTTTCTATACTAATACACACAGCAAACAGTAGAAGACCATAAACAAGATCCTTTGTGTTACATGTGTTTGCAGTCTAGGTCACACTGCCCAGGCACCAGACTGAGCTATATTTACACACTCCTTACTACTTCTGTATAAGTGAATAACACAGCACATTATATCACCTATACGATAAGGAACATAGCATGTCAGTTGTACTCACTAAACCTGGCCACACATGGCTGAATGAGAGAGAGTTTTTGTATTCATACAACTGGCATCTGACTGGATGCAGTTGCTGTTTGGCCAACTGTTTTCCTCCAGCTCCTTTGATTTTATAGTAATAGTCAGTCCAGCCAGGTGTTGCCAACAGGGCCACTTACAGCTTGAATTTCATCTGATTCTTCATAAATTGACCAAATTCAAGCCGTGCAACCTAGGGTTTAGAATTCAGTGGGAGTGGGCTTTGCAGTAGCTCCTTTTTCATCTAGGTAAAAACTGGCTCTATGGAAGTCGCGTGCACCACATAGGACACTGCAAAAACGCCATTGGGTCTTGTGGGAGGCTGGGGGTACACTGTGGGGTGGGAGAGAAAATGAAGAGTTGCACTTCTTGCCACCAAGCACCAGAAGAGGAAGGAAATGGGTCAGAAACAGGTGAGTTTCCACTTTAACTCTCTATATGTACCAATTGATATTGTAAGCCTGCAGCTGTACCAAGTGAATGTTTTTCCATCTCTCTAGTATACAGTTTGTTTCATTTACTGACATTTGCAGTTTATATATTTTCAGAATTTTTATTTGTGCTACTCTTATTTTTTGCAGTTCTGTACAGACGCCATATGTGAGACAGCTGAACTTGAATACGCATGATATTGCACGCAGTCGTAAGCGCAAAAGGAGCTCAAGTCCTTGGTAATTATCAGATCTATTAACTGCAGTGGTATGTACAAAATGTGACGGCATATCAGTTAACCAGATCAGTAATAAAAGAGGTAGAATTCACAATGAAAGTGAAAGCAAAGCTTCAGCAAATTATTTTATATATAGTGAGCCTTGGGACAGCAGGAGGAACACATTTAATTGCTTGTATATGCAGTTGATGAGAGCATCACATGTGATCATTTGGTTTTGTAGTGGTTTCCTTGTCTGTGGTAACAATAGCTTCTGATGTTTAGAGCCTCTGTTCACACACTCCACCCTCTCATCAGAAGTCATTTTAGTAAACAGTGTTTTGCAAATGGAAATTCAGACCATCCTATGTAAAGCAATCTTCTTTAGTATAGCTCTTTTAGGGCCTACCTATGTCTGCGGGCTTTGGGTTCATGTAGATGGGCAAATGCAGATTATTTTCAGGTTCATTTTGAGATGCTTATGAGATCATTCAGAGTTCATTGGCAGGTGCATTTAACTTCTATCTACATTGCATCGACCTGCTTTATGAGGTTTTTGCTTTCCGATTGACTTGTATGAACAAGAGAAGCATCAATAGAGGTTGGTACCCTTACATATAATATCCTCATTAAAACCCATCAATGAGATTTCCATAAAAACAAATTGTGACTAGCCAATGACAAAGAAGGGACATACTGGTAAAGTTATTACTATGCTATCTCGCCCAACCCCTACCATGTTAGATAAATACAGGAGCTTAATATAAAGACACATCAAGTGATTATGCTAATTCATTGCAAAGGACATTTTTTTAGGGATTATGAAATAATAGTTTTTACGTTTTGAGCTTTGAAAATGTGCAGAAATATATGAATGCAAGCTTATTGCATTCGTGTTGGGAAAGTGCCATTTGTGCTGTACAGTAATGCTCTCCTGTTGAGATCTGTAGGCTACCATTGCTGACCACCGTCTACAAAAAGGCCAACTGCATGGCTGTGCCTGGTTTCTCTAATCTTGAGTCTCAGACCTGCAACAAGCACATATAGCAAAATAAAGTTGATAAAAAGTCAGGATTCCCTAACTCTATTCTTGTTTTAGGTCAGTGGCTCGGAAAGTATTTAAGCCAAAGCCAGACAAATAGCAATTTCACAAGGAGAAATAACGAATGCCTGCTTTTGTATTTCCATCACGATTGATATATATATATATATCATTTTTTTTTTTTCATGCAATTTTTGTAAAACGTCTAGTAAAAATGTTTTGCACCCATACATACCTGCACCACTTTCTTCTCTGAGGCTGTATAAAAAACCCACCATCTTGCAGAAACCTCTTCTGTTACATGTCCTCTAAGCTGTTAAAGGAGCGCTCACGTCAAGGGAAGTGGCCTAATTATTCCCTAGCAGGAAGTCATCTCTGGCAATTAGTTTAACTTTTTAACTGGGTGCGCTTTAGGCCAATTCTACCACCGCACTATACCTCCTCCTTTCTTTGGAGCCTTATCTAAAACTTTTGAGTAGCTATCAAGCTGGCAGTTCAGGTATTATTTTTTTTGCATTGGCACATAAGTAATGCTATCTACTCTAGTGATTATATGCTACCCAGGAGACTGCAGACAGAGGCTGCAGCAAGGGAGTGGGTGGAACGTAAAATTGACTGCACAACAAAGTACACCCCCTGCCCTTCTTAGCATGTCAGACGGCTCTGACATACTCATGAAGAGGTGGGGAAAAAATATATGCCATCTGTGGATTTCCTGTTAATGAAGTTCAGCCCAGAGGTCTCAGAGGATACCTAGTCTTCCTGCTGATGCAAATAATATTTGCAGCTGCTGAATACATTCATTTTTCCTAATAAGTAGCAGAGATTGCGTTTAAAAAATGAACAGTATCAGTATCCCTGGTGTACTGAGGATTCTGAGCAACAGGGATGCATAATACATCTGGCGTTTGCATATGTTTTAAAGAAAGAAAAAAAAAAAGCCTAAATTAAAGGTTTCTCAACTTAAATTCCATACTGTCCATCTCTGCTGCAGTGATGAGAAAAAGCCAGTGGAAGAATCTTCGGTAACCGAAAGTTCCAGGAGTGTCAGGTTCCTGGATCCACCACTGTGCTCTGCGGTTCATTCCACTAAGTTGCTGCTGTGTCCTGTAGTTATATAGGGGTCTGGGAGGAATCGGAGTGCAGCAGGGGACCAGGAATCCAACACTCTGGAAAAGTCAGGTTTTAAAGATTCTTCCGCCCCAGCAGAGATAGGTGGTGTGAATAACATGAAAGTAGTATTTAAGTACACTATTTCTTTGCAGAGGCAGCTTTTATTTTAAGCTGCTCTCTGGACTCTCCCTAAAACCTCAAACCACTCGCCCCTTCCCACCCCTACCAAAGTGATCGCTGGCATTACAAAAAAAAAGATCTAAATGCAATTTTTAGTCACCTAAAGCAGTGGTCACGTGACCATCCAATCCTCAGTCTCTTCGGTTTACACGAGGTGAGGTCCTTCTACAGGTGTGCACGTCGCTGCCCACGTGAAATTGACACTTCCTATTGGCTGGCCAGCTGTGCGATCCTCCCAATATCCAGAAGAGAAGTATGCAGTGCAAGGGACACTTATAAAGCAGTGGTCACGTGACCATCCAATCCTGAGTCTCTTCTGTTTACAGGAGGTGAGGTCCTTCTACGGGTGTGCATGTCACTGCCCACAAGAAATTGACACTTCCTATTGGCTGGCCAGCTGTGGGATCCTCTCAATATCCAGAAGAGAAGTCTGCAGTGCGAGGGACAGTTGGGGCCTGGGCCAGCACATCTGCAGTGCTGGATTAGTGGTCCGTTGCACGCAGGATAGACACCAGCGAGGGACCCAAATGATTAGTTGTATGTTTTGGTTCTAGGGACAGATTCCCTTTGAATGGATCTTGTCAGTTGTCATATATTTTAATGTAATGTGTATATTAAGTATTGGTTTTCTTTAAAAAAAAAATCAGTCCTGAAATTTACAATCGTGTATTGTTGTGGTTGCAGTTTAAGACCAAAGCTTGAAACAACAAACGGTGACCAAATCAACTTGATTACTGCTAGTACCTGCTGCCCCAGTGAAGAGAGTGCACCATCTTCAACTGTGCCCATCCATCTAAGTAGCCAACAAGCCAGTGATGAAATAGAGAGTCACCATTCAGATAATCATGTAAAATCTCCATGTAAGAGTTCCCAACCTGATCCAGGAATAAGCAAGGCAGGAGCAACATTCCCAGCCAGCTCTCGATGGGACTTCTTGAAAATTCGTTTTCCAAATTGTGCACCTAATCAACCCTGCGTTGAGTTTCAAGATCCAGAGCCGAATCTAATACCAGAGAACATATCGGGGCGTCCTGTGGACATATCGCGCTGGTTAGGAAAGCTGAACTTGCGCAGAGAGAAGGCATCTCGAAGAGAGCAAGAGCAATGGGACTGGGAGCGCAAGTACAAGATTAGTATCAATGCAGACCCCCAAGTAAAGAATTGCACCAACTGGAAGGAATACAAGCAGCACCTGCTCAAGAAGGCATGTCGGAGAGACCAAGAGAGACCTCCACATCTTTGGAATAGTACCGTTCAACCAATGCTGATACTCGGACCCATCAAATCCACAGGTGATAATGGTCAATGTACTAGTATTGTTATGATCACTTTTTAACTTGTGTGTGCACGTTAGTTAAATTCCAGCTGCGGGGATATGTAGTCATTTCTCTGAGCTGTCATTTGCCCCCTCTTGGGCTTCAAGTATTTAATGTCTGTATTTCTTTATGCAGCTTCTGTTTTGGAAGACATCTCAGTGATGAGCCAGTCTACTCTGCTGGATGATAGTAAGAGGTAGGTACTGAGTACTATGGTTTACCCTTACTACGAAGGGCAAAATACAACTTATTACAAGTGTGTGTGTGTGTGTGTCTGTCAAAATCTCAGGTCCTGAGCTACTAGCCAGGCCTTAAAAGTTACTTGCCACCAGTTGCCCAGCCTGAACCCATCCTATCTTATCCTGCCCGCCTCCCCTCCTTTTAACATTGCCCTCTTCCACCATTTAAAAAAAGAGATGCAAATAAACCCAAAAGACCAGTAAGCCCTCCTCACACTCAATATGGTGTGAATTCCACCCAAATTGATGGAGCCCTATAGTTAAGTACAGGGCATCATCAATTCAGCTGTAATTCGCTCCATAACATATACACACCCAGCACAACGCACAACATATCTCACAAACATAGGGCATTACACACACACAGCATAAAACACAGCATAACACACACACAGCACAAACCACAGGGCATAATACACACTGCACAGCACACAGAGCATAACACATAGGGCATAACACACACAGCGCAACGCACAGAGCATAATACACACACACAGGGCATAACACAAACAGCACAACACACAGTGCACTGGGCACCCAGACCCATCTCTATGCCCCCCATCTAATGACTCCTGGCAGCTTCCACTTTTGGGGCTCGGCAGCTGCAATTTCCCTGCATGTGTACACCAGAAGGCAAGGTGATTGTTGCTCCTGCAATGGATTCAACATGGAGAACCCTGAAGTCATTTTTGTTTGGTGGTAAGGTACGGAATAGATGGCCTGCATTTCCTGTTTTTATATTAAAATACAGGTTTATCGAGGTAAAGGGGTGCTGGTTTTATCACCCTAGTCTACCTTGAGGCAGAGGTGGTGGTATAAAGTCGGTATAAAGGGGTGATGGTATGCAGTGTCATGTTTTACACTTGTCCTTTTTCTTCATCCCTTTTTTTTCTTCTCATATCTAAAGATGCCCATACACCTTACGAATGTCGGCTGGTTTTCGTATGCGACCGCGTTTTCGTCCAATATTCGTAAGGTTGATGGGGAGTGTACAACCGCAAATACTGTACAATTGATCGACTTTTGACTAACCAGCAGGTTAGAAAACTTTGGTCAATCGTACGATTTTCACAAGGTTGGTGGCATTTCCATACGTCAAAATTCGTACGATTTACACTGCTCATGCGCAGATGAAAATACCTGCGGTTGATTACCGCAATTCGTTCAGGTGCTTTCTTTTAATTACCGCAGATCCAACTTTGCGATAATCGGGGCAGGATGGGGCCGCCGTACAACAGTTCGATCATCGGACGAAAAGTGTCGTCCGATGAGATCAAGATGTATGGGCAGCTTAAGGTTTAACAAATATTAGGACTTGCCTATTGTTTCCTGAGCTCACCTTATTTCCTTTTTTCTCAGATGAGTTTTCTTCCTTGATTTCAATGACACCTGGGCGTATCTGCTCCACAGGTGAATGTCTGGTTGCCCTGCTTGGATCCTCCAGATAAATGTTAAGGTGCCTGTACACCTTGTGATTATGGTACCATAATCGTAGGAAATCCTGCGATCGTACGATAATCGCAAGGTGTATGGAAGGCGTGTGACCTCTGCTACTGTACGGTCGCACAACTTTTGTCTTAAGAGCATGTTCGAAAACCCAACGAGAATCGTACGATTGTCGAGGGGTTAGTGGCATGCTCGTAAGACAAATGCCGAACGGGCCGGTGTGCGCAAGTTCAGCATTGCAGTCATCGGACGCCCGCCCCTCAGGAGGGTGGGCTTTTTGATGATCGCAAGTACGATCTGCCTGTCCAAGATGGGAAGATTGTAAGTTTTTTGAAATTACCTTACAACCATCGCAAGACAAAAGTCTTGCAATGGTTGTAAGATCTATGGCCAGCTTTACATTGGCCATACATTGTACGATTTCGTTTGAAGTTTTTTTGTTTCTGGAACAAACCCTTGTTGGAATATACCTAGATTTCCCCATCAAGCATAGCCAAATGTCGATTTCGGAAATCGTTCGTTAGTCATACTAACCAACCAATTTGTGACGAACGACGGAAATAATTTCCTTTTGTACATGTGCTGTGTTCTTGCAGAGATTTTTGACGAACAGAAACCCTACTGATTCATCCATTATTGTTCGGTTAGAGAAAAAATTTCCAACCTGACCAAACCTACAATTTTGATCACAATATCACAAAAACTAAAATCACCGATGTGCCATCAACTGTTTGATATGAGTTCAAAAGACCGTTTGCTCAGTGTGTGGGCACCATTAGTGTTTCTACCATCTGGGTTGCATTGTTGCATTTTTCCTTTCTGTCTCTCTTTCCCGTTATGGTTTCATTTGATAAGGTTATATATATTCAGCATACTCAGGGGGGTGAATAAGCAGGAATGCTATGACTTTACCCCACCTGTGGAAGACAGCCTATAGGAACTGTTGTGTTTCAGAGTGGTATGAGAAGCTGCATGTAGAAATATTTGCCTTGTACCTGAACTGCAGCAGAGGTTTGTCCTCTGTGGTAATCTCCAGAACTAATAAAGGCAGCCAAGTGCAACATATATAAATATATATGAAATTATACCCTAGATGAAAAGGAACAGTGAACCCTTGCATTGTGGAAGTAGCCCCACTGCAAAGGTTCATTTTGTTTCTGCTCAGAGTTCTTCTTTAATCGTTCATCTAAAAGAGATCTGCCAGTCTGTCTGAGAAACTGGAGACCAAAAGTAAAAAACTGTGTTCTATAGTGTTTATGTCTATAGTAGGTTTAATTTTATGTATGTCATATGATTTTAAGTTTTTTGTTTTTTTGTTTTTTTTTGTATAAACACGTTTTAGGTTCAATGTGCTTTATTGGCTCTTTACAAATCCACCGTCTGCCCAACCTATATAACTTCATTTCTGCTTTACCAGGATTCAAAAGCTTCCAAACCTACCACAGATTCACTTCAACCTGTATCAGGCTGATGGAACCTCGACATTCAAGAAGTCCAAACCAGGGAAGCCCTATGCACATTTGTGTGTACGAAGGTGGGTAGCTGGGTGAAACCCATTGCTTGGTTTAACACAAAAACTTCTTCAGGTTAGTTGTCATTGTCGATGGGAGGAAGACATGTTGTATTCACCATGTTTGAGTGGGAGAATCTTCAAAGCTGGGTACATTATGCTGTACCTCTTACTGGAAAGATCCACCGAACAGGGTGGCTGCTTGTGTGTATCATTGTTGTGCGGTTCTTTGCACATAAATGGCCCTACTGGTGTTATTCTGGCTATAAACCCACCAATAGTTTTTGAACCTTATAGCCACTCAAATGCTTTAAAAAAAAAAAAATCACTTTTTGGGATCTAGTTTTATTTCTAATTTGATTTATTGATAATTGTTTTTTTTGTTGTAAATCTTTATATTCATTTTGCATATTTTAGTGTACAACATGACACCAACATGGTACCTAGCCATCAATACATTACGGCATAGCATATGCCCATTACTACATAAATGCCATAAGCAATGGCCCCAATCAGACTCCCCCCTCCCCCCCCCCTTAGATCCGCCCCAATGCACCCCCCTGCAATTTCCAGCATAATAAACATTAAACATTTAAGGAGCCCATGTGCAAAAATGAGTCAATTTTCCAACTCATGCGCCTGGAACTGTGCTAAAAACAGATTCTGGGTGAACTCCGTACTCGCCCCTGGATTATTGATAATTTGATTTGACTCTAGTTTGTAGTATGCAAAATGATTAAAATGGCAGTAATGAACTAATGGTTTTTCTTAGATTCATTGAGAATAGTGAAACTATGTTTTCATTTAAGTAGTACTAAAGGCGCTGTGGTTTTGTTTTTTTCCCAAAAAGACATCTGTATTAAAAAAAATTAGCACTTACTACTTAAAGCGGACCTTTTACCCCTTTCATTAAAAATCACATCAACACGCAGCTCTGCATGCTCATATGAAATCATATTCCATTCATTAGCCAAACAAACATGTTTTTCATTTACGTACAAATAGAGTTTATACACTTCCTGGTCCACTTTGGCACAAATGATGTAATCTGTGCCCAAGCATTGCATCCTGGGAGGTTACATCCGTAGAGCATTGCTGGGAATTCTCATCTGCAATCTCACAACATCTCAGGGAAAGGCATTTTCCTCCCTTAAGATGATCACATGTCCTAGTCACGTTCCCGGAACCGAAGGGAGATGCAGTAAGTTCCCCATTATCCAGCATTAAAGCAACCGGCACTCTCAAGCAACTAGTGACTTGATGTGCATTAACCAGTTGACATCCGCGGTGTTAAACCCCCTTCCCATCCAGGCCATTTTTCAGTATTCAGCGCTGCGGTACTTTAACTGACATTTATTCCGTCATGCAGCGCTGTACTGAAATGAATTTTATACCCTTTTTTGGGGACAGATAGAGCTTTCTTTTGGTGGTATTTATTCACCACTGGGGGTTTTATTTTTTTACTATATTAAGGAAAAATTACCGAAATTTAAAAAAAAAAACAGTTTCCCCTATATTAAATGATAAAACATTTATTATTACCCAATTTTTTGGTAAAATATAAAAGATGGGGTCACGTCGGGTAAAAAGACACTAAACATGTCAAGCCTTAAAATTGCGTGCGCGCGCGAAACCTCAAAAAACGATAATACCCAAAATTGGCCATAGGCGACGCTTTAAAAGCTGTTACCGCTCATCAGTTTAGTGTTATCAGTGATTGATGGCCCTAAAATGATTGCTCTCACTGCGACGTTCGCGGCGATATGTAACATGTGTAGCGCAATTGTAATTTTTGCGCGCTGGGGCACCGGACGCGTATTTACGTTTATAGGCGCGTAAACGTGGGGGTGGGGGAGTTAAACATTTTGGGGGGGTTTTTTCCCCTTTTTTTATATGTGGCTTTTATTTTATTTTATTTTTTTATGTGTTATTTTTTTTTTTTTTTATTTATATTTTTTTTTTTGCACTTATTGTTATTGCTATTATATAGGGGGATAACAACCCCCTATATAATAGCAAAGGCACACTGACAGGTCCTCTTTATGGAGATATTAGGGGTCTCTAGGACCCCTAATATCACCTATGGACCCCAAAAGAAGCTGATAAAGCAGAGATCTGAGGTGCCGCGAACGAGCACATATAGGCGATCGGCGGGCTATGGACCCGCCGATCGCCTATATGTGAAACACCCGGTAACGGGTGTGTGCATTTAGCGGGTCTTTTCTGCCCGTTCGTGCCCGCTAGGGGGCGCGCGCGAGCAGAAAAAAATTGCCGTCTGGAGACGGCAACCCGCAGATGCTGCAGTGCCGTCCGTCCGTTTTTTTACTACGGGCGGACGGCAAGAGGTTAAAAAGCTGTCAGTTTCTTGGTGCACACTACAAATTTTGTTAGCAACTTTAGCTGCTAAATAATTTCTTTGTTTATATTTCGTTGCCGGCCGGCGGCTAGATTTCACTGTCGGCAGCAGAATGTAAATAATGGGGAGAAATAGCCAGCCTGCTATTGGCTATTTCAAATTCAATCCTCGTGGGTGCCAGATAACTGGGAGCTTACTGTATATTAATGTGCCTTTGGTAACAATGGCCACTGTCGGAAAACTTGTGAAGAAAAGAAAAATAAGGTATATAAAGAATAAAAAGCTGCTAATCCTCTATAGGTATCCGTTTGTAGATTGTCATTACTAAGCATTTCCAAAGGTGACCTAGTTCTTAGTTTAAAGTTATGGGTAAAGTTCCTCTTTAATGTTATTACAGGCGCAGCCTCTGGATTCTTCTTCACCGCTTCCCTGAACTTCCAGATTGGGAAGTGCGCACTCATAGCTTTTGTCACAGTAAACTGATCCCTTTCCTCAGGACTAGTTCCTTAATGTATAGCGCCACCACACATGCACGGCCCCTGCAAGCAGCCATTCATCACTTGACAGAGGTCTGTTTTAGTGCATCTATTGTAGGGCTGGTAATGATAAAAAAAAATCCTGTTCGATTAATCGAAATTTTTTTTAATCGATTAATTTCGATTAATTATAACGCACATACAGATCCAACTACATTGGCCTACACACACACTCAAACAGTATGAGGGGAATTTATCAAAACTGAAGCAAAAGTATCTGGAGCAGTTGCCTATGACAAGCAATCGGCTTCTCTCTTCAGTTTGTTCAGTTAAGGTTTAAAAATAAAAGTTGGATGCTGATTGGTTGCCACAGGCAACTGCTCCAGATTCTGTCTGCTCAAGTTTTGATAAATTCCCCTCTATGTATGTTATGACTTTCAGGGCTAGTTCACACCAGTTCCAGTGCGTTCCGGGCCGATTCGTGTTGGAATGCACTGGATCACATCCCGGCCGCCTCACTGCATTCTGGGGTGGGAGGGGGCGTGTTGTTGCATTAAAGTCAATGGCAACGCAGGTACGCCCCCCAGCCGCAGTGTGATCTCCAGAAACACATGGCAAGTCAATATCAGTGTTCTGGTCTCTCTGGGCCCCCCAAACTGGCGGAACACCAGGGCCTGGTCGTGAAATGCGACTGATGCAGCCCTGGTAGTTTAGCCAGTGCCAGTATCTGCGTTTAGTATTGGGTCATTTTCACGAGTACGAATCCCTTCATTAGCCGGAGGAGCCACTTGGGGAAGGGGGAGGAGCCCGTGACGTCGATGTCCGTGACGTCACCGGATCTCCGACGGAACTCTCGAAAGACCCGGAAGCCGGCGGAGAGGTGAGTACCGATCAAAATACTTTTGATCGATCAAAAAAATTTACGATTAATCGAGGGATTAATCGTTAATTTCCGCAGCCCTAATCTATTGCTCTTGGGCTGCCTGTGTCTTGTCAAGGCAGGGAGCGTCTTTGTCAGCCTGTAGTCCTCTTCCCAGGTGCACATATGAAAAGCTGGATCTGTTGGGGCTCTATAGGAACCTGCAAGCAATGAGCCCCCCTACAACTGGTAGCGGTGCCAATGCCTAGACCAGTTAAAAATGGAAAGCAGAAACATCAGAAGAAGCGGCAGACTGTAACATTGGCATCTAAAACAGTAAAAAAAGCAGTTTAATATCACTTCAAACGGCCAGATCCGTACCTAATGTGGCTATCATTAGGGGCTGCTCAGACTTTGGGTAATGTTATACATGTGCATTCATGCCTTTACATATGCATACCTCACAGATGACTGTGACCCTTAGCTCCTGGGCTCTTATTTGTGTTGCAGTATGAGTTTGGAAAATGTCTTGCAGTTGTTGATCTTTCACTGTGCACAGGCCACATATAACAATGCAGTGTTGAGTGGGGTGCAATGACACAGTGAAAGACAGATCTTCTGAATGTCTACAAGATGTACTTCTCCATAGCCCCAGCTGTAGTGAAAGCAGTTTGAAGGTGACACAAATCGAGGCCAGTGTTTCCCTGGGAACAATAGGCAGGGAGATATCGGCACATGTGTACACATGGGACCTGTGCTGTTTATTGTGTGACTCATCCAAGAAGCATATGCATGTTTAGGAAAATCTCAGATTATTGCATTGGCCTGTCTAATCAAGCCATATATGACCAGCCTTATATATCACACTTAGATAAATGTTGCCCATAATGCATTTTCATAATCGCAAAGCAGGTGCTAATGACACAATGGGGGTAATTTATCCATGTTGTCACATCTGTGTCTGTTGCATCCTTGATTAAATATAGTGACCAATTTATCCTAATTTATGTTTCATTCTTAAAGCCTCATTCACATGGGGGGCATACACGTCCGTGCGGCCTGCACGCCCATAAACAAGCTGATCCCGGGAGGGACAGGTGCTGCGCGTGATGTGCGCAGCAGCCTGTTCTTCCCTATGGGAGCACGTGGCCATATGCTGTAAAATGCATACACAAACTGCACATCCGTGGGGGTACGGGTGTCCGCATTTGGACACAGGATACATCCTGTCTGTGTCCACCCGTACACCCATGGATGTTCGGGTTGCGTGTCACAGTGTATGGTCTTATCCTACCATAGGGAAGAATAGGCTGCACAGACAGCACCTGTCCCTCCCGGGTAGGCCCGTTTACTGGCGTGCACGCCGCACGAACGAGTGTGTCCCGTGTGAATGAGGATTGAAGGCCTTCATAAGAATTGTCTACATTGTACATTGATTGAAGCTGTCCTTTCTGAACGATAAACACTATATTCCACTTAGCAGTGGTAGGATGTTACTATGACCCTGATAAATCTGCAATGTTGGAAATAATGTATGAACGCTATCTTGATATCTAGCCACAAAAAGGGTTAAAAGATATCATTTATGTCCAGGCTAAATTTATCAGCTTCAGTATGCGTCTTTTAATTTGACAATAACTCTTCCTAATTCGCATATCAAAATACATTTTTTATATATAAAAATATATTTTATAGATTAATAAAACATTTATATATTTTTCATGTACCGTAAATATATCTGGCATTTAGACCATTCAGTAGATGGCACTGCAGATCCTACTTCAGTCCTAAGATGCCAGTGTTCATCTTCAGGCTGAAGCCCTATTTTGTCAGTGAATCTTCCAGCTGGCAATGTTATGTCAAAGCTGGTTGGTTCCTGATGATCAGTGGGGACTAGAATTGTCAGTGACTGCTGGTATTGAGAGCCACCAGCTGCATTACAGTAAGTGTCTGCTGATGGCTCTCAAGGGGAGGATGTTATTATTGCATCCCCAGCACTGTAGACATTTAATATACAGATTAAAGCAGGGAGGTAAGGCAGCCCCCACCCACATTAAAGTGCTACAAACTCCAGGATCCATACATGGATTCAAATGTCTTCTGTCCAGTCATATGACAAGTAGGTTACTATTACTTTTCTTCCAGTTTCTACTTCTTCCAGTTCCTCCAGCAGTGGGCAGTCCTCTGTGCTGCAGGGAGTTCCGAGAAAGCATTTTCATGTGAGTCCAGGCTGTGTGGTGACACACCCCCTAGGGGGCATGTCCATGATGGCCTGGGCTCACTGAAAGTGGGTTAAATGATGCCCAGCTTCATCCAACCCCATGGCATAATTCTGCTATAATAAAATAACAATATTAAATGGCAAACTAATACAAATGTGAACGTAAAATTGGATTGCAGTATTGGCATAATACTTCCCTTTTAATAAATTATAATTATTACCTATGTTCTGCTTTTAGCTTTGATGAGCAAATTCCCACCCTGCTCACGCTGAAGACCCTGGCCTATCAAAGCGGAGATGTTCCCTTGGTGTTTGCCCTCGTGGATTATGGAGAAGTGGCCTTTTACACTTTCAAAGACTTTCAGCTGCCTGTAGATGTATATCCTTGAATTTGATACATTTCACTGGCACTTTTGCAGAATTAATCAAAATGCTGTTTCAGCAAAATGAATTATTTCAAATATGTTTATTTTAATAAAGATAATATTGTAAGCATGTGTTCTTTTATAACCAGTCTGCTTGGCTGGACTTTTAAAGCTGATCTCCAGGTTCCCCCATCCCTTCCCACTCTGTTGGTAGGCAATAGAAATAAAAATCTAAGTTCCCTTTTTACTCCCCTAAAACCAAAGTCACATGACACTCCAGTCCCATGTCTTCTCTCCTTTGTCGTCCATGTCTCTACCTGTGTGAAGTGGACACATTGGCTGTCCAGTGGTGGGGTTCTCTCAGGATGCAGAAGAAGCGCTTTGCAGTAGTGTCATGGGCACATCTGCATCACTGGAGGTAAAAAAAAAAAAAGGGTTGGGGGGTAATATTTTCCCAGAGATTGTCTTTTTAATTATGCTAACGCTGTGTGCAAAAAAAACTCTTGCAACTGATTGTTGCATATATAATTTTAATAATGTATGTGTAAAACCCAACAATAAACCAGTGTTAAAGGAGAACTAATTTAAATAGATAAATCACTCATCCTCATAGTTCGAGCCGACGTGTGACAATGAAACTGTTGCACATCGACTCAATAGATCGGGAAGTGAGCGAACGCATACCGTCGCTCGCTCACTTCTCGATCATCTTCCTGCACAGAGTGATGACTGTCAGTCACGGCTCCCTACAGGGATTCCCCCCCTTCCCCTGTCCGATCCTCCAGCACTGACTTGGAGGAATGGACGGGGGAGAGGGCGGGTACAGCTGGCTCTGCCTCTAGATAGGGAGAGCCCGCAGTCACACACGCTGCTAGGTGGATCTTGACAGTAATGTTGTGATCCGTCCCGGCTGCAGCAGTCTCAGTATACCACGAGCAGTAGCTCGTGATATACTGAGCTTTGGGTCACAAGCGGACGCTAGTTTTATGTCCTCCCGTGACCCTTAAAAGAAAACTATGGGGTAAGTGTTTTCCCCCATAGTTCTCAAGTGTTTTGTTTATATATGTTTGAGAACAAGAAAAAAATTACCTGTTGATTTATACCAGTATCCAGTGAGCTTCATGAAGATTCTGCCTGTGCTGCACTGAAATCTCATGCAGTGTTATCAGCCCCGCCCATCTCTCTCTGAACTACAGAACACCTCCCCTTATATGTTACATAGCTGAGAAGAGAGAGAGATGCTCTGTACTCCAAATAAGGAGCGAGCAGCTTAAGGTGACAACTGTGCTTCTCTGTAGATGAAATAAGTAAGCACTCTAGGACAGGAATGGTTACTGGCTTTGCGAGAAATGAAAGAGCGCCTTCCCCTGTGTATTCTTTAAATTGTAAAAATTTAAACATACAAACGGTGAGTTTAAGACCCTGTTAGTGTAAGAAGACCGTTTCTGTTGGTGTTCCTTGACGAGAATCCGGGGTACTGGTAACATTTTTTGGCTGGTTACTGGCTTTAGCAAAAGATGACAATAAAGGAAAAGGAAAATAAATGCAGCCCCCACTTCTGTGATCTGGCAAGCTATAATATATTATACTTTTTGTTCTTGTATTTAGATGCACTTTAACTAATTGTGAGTAAGATAATGTAATTTTAATTGCTTATTACAACATTGTTAATCAATTTTGGTACCAAGAATCTGCCATTGCTCCTCTTTGCGACAGGCCCAGTACGTTCAGCAATGACAAGGTAGTTAGAGATTTGAAGAGCGAGTGTTCATTCCTACGGTAGGACCGTCGGATTGTGACAATTACACTCTTAGATCCTGACTGCTACGACCAGAATGTGATGCATTACATACTTCGCTTGCGCTGAAATTGCAGCTCTCGGACAACAATCTAATCACCAGCAAACAGAATAATCATCACCAGGTGCAGATTAACCTTTTACACATACATATATACATGGTAGCCACCACCACACATTTTTACAGAAACATACAGTGCACAGCATCTGCTATTGCAATGATGATTTTTAAGAAAAGGTATAATTGCTGCCACGCCCAGACAGGAATATGCCAGAGTTTACACTACAGTAGCTCCTTACAGAGGCAACTGTAATAATAATTGGAGCATTCAGAGATTTAGCTCAACAATTTTTAAATAATATAATGGAATGAAAAACCATGCAAGAAAATATTTACAGAAAAGATATTATACAACAGACATAAACATCAGACAGATAAAAGAGGTTAAGAGTGAAGCTTTGCCTGGTCTTTGCTTCCATGCAGTGTCCAGTTTGCTCTGATCCAATAACTGCAAGAGTCACATGCCCTCAGAAAAAGTGACTGAGTATGCATGGTGGTTTTGATGTCAAGCAAGAGCTTAGTGCTGCAACTGCAGCCATCTTTTCTGGTCCCTTGTCAGGGCATTGCAGAATTACCACACACAATCAAAAGATCCAAGGGGTGTGGCATAGTTGTGATGGAGTATTCTATTTATGCACCAGCGGACACACCCATACAACTAACTTACCTGAGCACAGCTATATTTCCATCTAACAAGGTTTCCCTGTCTGACAACTAGGATATTATTTAGAAAATTAAATTCTGTTCTGATCCCAAATATGATATAGATATTATGTACATCTCACTTAGTCATTCTAAAGTGTCCCATTAGCCTTCTGGACCTTGTATATATGTGTTTGGTGTCTAGCTGATTGGTATCTATCTTGCCTGCATTAATGTGACCACTGTTTATGAAGATAACCCAATCACAGCAGAAATGATAGATTATATATAAACTTTGTTCTGCCAGACTGTTTACAACCTGGCTATTTACAGCATGGCTACATTGAGTGTTTTAAGGACTCTGCTAGTGGAGGTTTATGACATCTCTGCATTCTGTTCTCTGTTTTCTATCAAAGGTGCTTTAAGATGGGACTGTGGGGGCTTCCGGTTCCGGCACCCATGTGAGTGGCAGCAGGGAGACGGCGCTCCCGTTACGGCATCCTGTTCACATAAAAATACAGCTACCTACCCAATTTTTTGTTTTTCTTTTTGCTTTCTTTAATGTGGCCTGAGATTGAGGCCTTTACATGTCATATCTTGATATCACCTTTGTTAAAGACTGCATTATCTGCTTGCAGATGCGCAATGTTATTATATCACAAAATTCTAATAAAATTTGTTTAAAAAAAAAAAAAGATGGGACTGTGGTTTTTAAAATGTGTCACCTTCCCTGGCTGTCTAGCACTGACTGAGCACATGAGATGTAAATATAACCATGTTTGTTACTGACTTGCGCATTTTGGAGAAAACGAGGGTGGCACTATGTTTAGTATACCTCCCCCATTCTCCTCACACAGATTGGGGTTCCTTGAACCTCACTATTGTAACAGTACTCACTTACCCCAGCAACAAAAAGCTAAAAATCAACAGCACAGGTCTCTACCAACATTTCCTGCATCAAAACATTCATTATGTTTCTGCATGGTCAGGTTTTAGCTCCTGGGCTCAATCTCAAACTTCTTTTCACCCTACTGAGCATATTATGTTGCCTTTCCTGTGTCTGGGACTGGTGTACACCAGCAGATCTTTATTGCCACTGCTTCCTTTAGGCAGAATGATTCCCTGTATAATATTCCAGATCCACTATTTGTAAGTGGAAGTTACTATGCAGGTTTATAAATTGCGAGATAAAGTTCCTCCGTTTTCCATTTGTTAGGAGAATGTCTCACACTTCTGTCGAAGCCTCCCAACTTTTCTTGGGGGTTGCTGCCTCTGCACCATTCCATTGTTGTCAGCTGTGGGCTAATGAGCCTGGTCACACACCCTTAGCACCGTTCCCTGATTACTTTTTTAGCTGTGGGCTAATGAGCTTGACCACATGCCCTTCAGCTTTGGGATTGGCTAGTGGCACTTTATTTAAGCATCAAAAGTCCAGGGCACTGGACTTTGCATTCTGTTCCTGTCTCAAAATATTGTATCTGGCAACCTGTCCTGTGTCAATATCTTGTCCCTAGGAATACTGTCTGTCTGCCTCCACTGCTGACCTCAGCCTGTAACAGGAATACTCTGTCTGACGCCAGTCCTGACCTCAGCCTGTCCCTGAAATGCTTTCTGCCTGCCTCCACTCCTGACCTCAGTTTATCATTGGAAAATGCACTCCTCTCTGCAGCCCATTCAGCCCTTGTTATGCATCTGTTTCCTCTGCAGGCTGCACTAGACCCTGACCTGTCCGTCACAAGCCCTGTCTCCACTGGAGAGCCAGCACTTCATGTCCTCCATCAAGAGTCAGTACTTCAACTCTATACCTTGGGGCAACCTGTGATATTCTACAGTCAGAGTATATAGTTCCAGACCTGGGGGAATCTGAGGACCTGCGGCACATATAAAGCATCCTTGAAAGGCAGCTACTAGAGGTGAAGACACTCACCACTATTTACTCTGGCTGGAGTGTCTGCGGTGTCCGGTCCTGACAGCATTAAATTCCACTCCACTAGGGCAGAGTGTGCTTCCTGGGCTTTTCATCATCAGACCTCTGTGTCTCAGATCTGTAAGTCTGTGACCTGGTCATCTGTACATATGTTCTCTAAAGGTGGCCATACACTCTACAACCATCGCAAGACGTTAGTCTTGCGATGGTTGTAAAGTGATTTAAAAAACGTACGATCTGCCCATCTTGGACAGGCAGATCGTACTCTCGATCATCGCAAGCCCGCCCCCCTGAGGGGCGGGCTTCCGATGACTGCAATGCTGAACAGGCAGGGTGCGCGTGTGCACACCGGCCCGTTCGGCATTTGTCTCCCGAGCACCGTTCAAACCAGCCGAAAATCGTACGATTTTCGGCTGGTTTTCTAGCGTGCTCCTTAGACAAAAGACGTGCGACCGTACAGTAGAAACGGTCGCACGTCTTCGTTCACACTGCTCGATTCTCGAACGATCGCCGGATTACCCGCGATTCTCGTACGAGAATCGAGCAGTGTATGGGCACCTTAAGTTCTACAAGGTCGATGTATCTGCCTCTGCAAATGCTAGTTTTTATCTAAATGTTCTGCAGGTGGCTATATAATACCCTGGGTTTTTCTTTTCTTTTTTATTCTTTTATC